ATGTTATAAAATGAGTTCTACACTGAAGGCATCTGAGTTGTTTGCTGCTGTGCAGAGACACAAAGCTGCTCATAAAATCTGATGCATTAAAAACTCAAAGCATATAAAAGGTAACATGGCACCACCTGGACTGACGACAACAGTTGCTCTGCTTTAACGTCTCATATTTGTCTCGTATTGTTGATATTTTGCTGCTAATATGTCTGTTTTTATGTAGAATGCTCGTAATCAGGTATTTTCACTTTGTGAGAGTTTTTATTTAAGTAAATAATCTGAACACTTTCTCCGCAACTTCCTGATTTACACACTCCTGTAACTCTGCTTGTTCTAAAGAGCTTATTGATGCAAACTAAAGGTTGTCCAACTGTTAACAATATTAGCAGTTTCACTCACTAATGGACATTAGAAGAAAATGACGGGTCGAAAGCTTTTATGCAAATGTTAGTGTTGAATAATTTGATTTAGGTTTGTGTAAGTGGCCGTTAAAAGCAAGATGTCACTCTATACCTTTCTATTTATACTGCTGAATCTGGGTGTGCTGTCGACTTCTAAACCTCTGCATCTTATAATACATATACAGCCTACAGCTTAATTTAAACGTTATTTCTAGGGAAGGGCTAAAATATCATCATCGGTCAATCATTTAAAACAACATCTGGTAAATGTATAATCATGCAAAACCTTCAAACTTGCAAATGAATGCTTATGTGAATGTATTATTCCATTAAAATACATTGCAAGGCTTGTTGGAGAGCAGAATTCACCCTGGTCTGACTATAGTGAAGCACACGATACATGTTATACTATGGCGCCCTCATGTGGTGATAATATTATATGCAGCTCATGTGCAAAACCAGTCTCACCTAAGTAATGTTGAACAGAATAATATCATAAAACAATTGGTTATTAAAAAATAAAGTTATTTTTCTAAATGAAATTCAGTTTTGTTGAACGTGTAAGCTGCAACGTGAGGGGATAATCTTCATCATTGTGTGTGTGGTGAGGACAAACCACATCTTCCGAGTCGTCCCCCTCCTCAGTGTGTTTTCTCAGCAGTGTGGTGTGGGCGTCCAGGGGTCAGCGAGGCTCCTCAGATGGGGAGGGGGGGGGACTGGGCAGAAAAACTGGCAGTGAAGATCAGCCATGTCTGCAAGTCACAAGAAGACCACCAACTGCTCGGCTCCTCAAACAGAGCCAGAGAGGTCTGTGAACTTCACACACAGATGGTGTCAGAGTCTTGTGCGGACAGCATGAGCATCACAGAGAATCTGAGGTCGACACATTGTGTTTACAAGGAGATCAGTCGTGTACTTTCTCTGGCAGACGCACAAGTGGCAGATATTGTTTGGGGCTTTTTGGTGCAAACAGAAAGAGTCTCTCACACACACACATAGTTGAATGTTCAGGGGCTCTTAAGGGCTTGGTTATAAAATAGTTATTGATTTTTTACTCTAACACTTCCTGTGATGTCAGTTTGTGCATTGTTGTAGCTGTTAATACTACAATGGTAGGTACGGGGGATCCGTTTAATGAATGTACTTTTACAAAATATATCATCACTAATGAGATTTAAAGTTTGGCAGTGAAATTACTCTGGAATTTAATTTGAGGAAAAACCTGTGTTCAAATAAGTTGTTTTCATATGCTTTTTAATTTGGTACTGATGAAATCAATACATTTTTTTTATTAATGACAATTAAATAAAATAAAATACACTGAATGAACACTGTCTTGTGATGAAACCTTTTGAAAAACACTATAGTTTTAACTTTATCTCCTGTAGGGAAACATGCTGAGGTTATATTTAAACATGTCTCTTGCTGCCGAGTCGCATTTATTCCTCTGCACAAACATGACAAGAGAACTAGAATGTAAAAGCTGTAATGTGAGCTGACTGAGGAATGTCATGTGGAAACAAGCAGAATGTTTATGATCCAGTTTGTTTTCCATCTCCGTTCTTCCACCACCTTGTTAACGATGCACCACAGGCCTGGTTTTATAAGCCTGCGTTTATAGATGATAACATTGAAGTGATAATATCCAAAGAACAACTTGAAGTTCTCTCTTCTGAGCTGATTTGAACCACAACACGTGCTGCAGTCTCATGTGTTGTTGAGTGTTTCTATGAGCACAAGCTGAAACTTGATTCTTTTTTTTCCTCACAGTTTACGTATTTTGACGAGTCACTGTGTGTGCACCCAGAGCAAAGATCTGAAGACGTCTTTCAATTAAAATCTATCACCAGAAACACACACAGTCTGCTACTGTTGGAGCACAACAAGTCATTGCAGACTTGTTATGATGATGATGATGATGATGATGATGATGATGATGATGATGATGATGATGCACAGGCAGATGTATAAAACTGAAGTAGTAATGAAGGTTTTTTATTAATATTGTGTTTACAACTTTGACTTATAAAAGTACATCAAGAACCGTTTATAAATGGCTAAATGCTGCCACCTAGGGACTGTTGCTGCTTAATGCAAAGGAAAACTAAAGAAATTAAGTACAAGTCTGCTATATAGTTCTATCATGCATTTTTTTATTTATCTAATAAGTGCCAAGCAATACCCAAAAACCCTCACTTACAACCCCCTCTCAACATACTGGTGCCAAACTGCCATCGTTCATCCCATCAGCTGGAAAATACAACTACAACATGGGATTATAATATTCTCACAATCATGCAGCCTGAAAAAAAAGGCAGCTTCACTTTTCTACAGAGTAAATACAGAGCGTGAAGAAAGCTCTGTTTCCATCAACACATCACAAACAACCTGTCAGAACCCCTCGTGTGTCTAACACCTCGTGTTTGTCTTTCACAGTTGACTTCACGCGGCTCCCCCCGGGCGCAGTCGGAAACACGCGCTGTTCAAAACTTCCTCGGCTGCTGAATGAAAAAGGTGCGGGGCGAGTGGGGCTTCTCCACCGCAGGGCGCACCTTGCTGTGCCTCACGCTCACCGGCGTCTCGGGGAAGTCATGGCTCAGCTGTAAAAAGACGTCAGGCGAAAGTTTTATGATGCGCGGCGGGTCAGAGGTCACCGAGGTGCTGCAACTGATCCGGTTTGACTCAGAGCAGCTTCACTCAACATGCAAAGTACGAGTGGCTTTAAAGAAAAAAAAAAAAAAAGGGTAATGTTTGTGTTTACCTTGTCCAGAGTTCCTGCCAGGAGTATGCCAACTTGCTGCATCCTGTTGGCGGTGGCAACGGACCTGCGGCAAAATGTAAAATAGAAGTTTAGCTTAACTTTAAAGCAAATCTCAGTAATCTACAAAGATGCTGCTGGACGTGCTAACATCTTAAAGTTTGAAGCAACATTTATAACAGCATCCTTAGAAATTAAAGTAACACTGTGCAACTTTTACTGAGCAACCCAGCCTCTGCAAACAAAGTCTATCAATGTGCTGACTGTAGTCCTGCTAATTGAGCTGTAACACAACGGATCACTGGATATTACCCACGATCCCCGGCTTCCTGAACCAAAAGAGCTGCTGCTGTAACAAACTAAACCCTGTTAAGAATCCTTTGTAAGTGTTTTTATAAGCTGCGACTATCAGTCACAGGAGATCGTACCTGCTCACCAAAGTTACATAGAGCAAGAACCGACGATCGAGGTGAGAATGAAGGGCACTTCCTTCTCCTTATTTCAAGTCTGTGTATAATTAAGCTAAATATGAAGCTGCTACTTTAAGGTCAAAAAAGTTACAGTGTTGCTTCAACAGCTTTATTAGACGTTGTGCATGCAGACTGCAGACCTACCTGATTTTGTCAGACCTCTTGGTCTCCTTCTCTTGAGTCCCATGGGTGGTTCCCTCATCCAGGCTTTTCTTGGCCACTCGTTTACCTCCAGCCTTCACTGTTGACCCAGAAAGAAAAAAAGGTTAAATATGTTAGCTGGAGGGGGGGAAAAAAAGGAACAGCTTGTATGCACACGTCCTTTGCAGATGTATGAGATTAGTGTGTCTTCAGTAGGCACTGGATCCTGACCCATCTCAGCAACAAGATAAGAATAAACAAATAATTGGTTTGAGAAACTCTGTGAATCAACTCATGGCTGTTTCCAGTGTTACCATCTACATTAACAAGAATATTGAGCTCATTCTGAATCTGATGATTTTCCTCAGGTTTATATGAGTTGCTGGGGGAATATTTTATTCACACTGACATTTACATGTTACAGAACATGAACTGATTATGACTCGCAAACACATTAGCACTTTGTAACGTGGTTTTGAAAAGTGCTATACAAATGAAGTTTATCATTATTATTAGGGGGAAGTTAATCAGAAAATGCTGCAGACATGGCAAATAATTTTCTCTGGTTACTAGAAGTTTCCCTGGAAATGTGATATTAATCTTGTCGCAGTGGGAGAATCTGATGACGGCTGCGTTTTCTCCCCACTGATGAACTTCATCTTTTACACCTGCGTGTTTCCCACTGTGATCTGTCAAAATGTCTGCCATGAAAAAAACCCCACACAGATGGTTTAGTTATGGCAACAGGGTCTTGAGTCTGAGACGAGCTCTAACACCGGGTCCCAGTCTGCGGGGGTCAGGGATCAATCTGAAGGGTTTAGAGATTAAAGGGAGAAAAACAATCTGTTGCACAAAATCTTCTACAACTGTCACACTTTCCTCATGAAACTCAGTGGTCTTAGTTTTATTTTAAGACAATAAGGTCTGTCACTCAAATCAGGGCTGGACAAAACAATCAATCCAACTTTCATTAAGTAATAGCAAACATAATGGTTGAATGCATTGTGTAATCACATATAATTGATCATCTACCTCAGATTTATAAAAAACGATTTTATTTTATGTGTTTAAAACCACAACCTTCACTTAAAAACCTTTCAAAAGCAAAATAAATCATGTGACATGATAATTATTGACAGATGTGAACAAAGAGTCCTAAACCAAATTATTTCAAAATATTTAATCATATTTTTAAAAGTCCAGTCTCCAAACCCAGGTACTTTTGTTATCATGCACCAATCCTTCAATAACATGTAGAGACAGAAGGATCTGATTTGTGATGAGCACGTTCTGCGTTGAGGGAGCCTGCAGGAAACACTGTGTTCTTTTCGCTGCTCTCACACTGAGGCCTGCGAATCGGAGCATGTGGGGGAGATCCGTGCAAACGCTGATCGGAGCCGATGGACGCAATTAACACGATCAAAGCAATCAAAGCGAATCTGCTCGTGTCTTCCGGAGAAAGACAGAAGAGCGAAGAAGAAGGTGAAGAAGAGGGAGCGATGTTTGGTGAGGAGCAGGAGGAGGAGCTCAGTGAAAAACAACAGACACAAGCACATGAAAAGGAGTTTGTGGGTGAGAGGAGCGCTTCACCTGCAGGAGGGTGGCCAGCCTTCAGCACAGGAGCCTCCTTCGCTCCGGGTTTGGACAGATGCTGCACCATGTTGAAAAGTTTCCGTGGAGAAGCAGGAGAAAAGCAACAAACTCTTTTTCTGCACGACGCCTCCTCCGTTGTTTTTATGCTCCCACGCGGATGACGCGACGCGAGGATACAGGAAGTGTGGAGGCAGAGGCACGCCCACTTCGAGTGTTCCCACCCATGCTTTTTTACTCGAAGTGAAAACAACATGTCGTCATCAGCGTGTGTGTTCGGGTGCTTCATGTGTTCAAGGTTTCTGCTTAATATCGAACCATCTTATTGTGAAAATCATGGTTCAACCACTAAATGATGGTAGATTTTATTCCAGATTTAAATTCCGAAGTGTGAAATGGATCCAGGCAGGTTTTTAAACCCTGATAGAGACAGTACACTGTGAACAAATCAACATAAAGTCTATTGATGGGTTACTGGATCCCTGGATATTACCCATGATCCCCAGCTTCCTGAACAAAACTACACTAAACCCTGTAAAGAATTATGTTTATTCTAAAAAGTTACTCAACAATTATGATTTAATCTAATTTAAGCTGCAACTATCAGTCAGTTTCAAAACCATGGAGAGACAATAGACTGGATTCCAAATGTGTTAAATGGATGCAGGCAGGTTTTCAAACTCCCTGATAGAGACAAATCCACGTAAGTACACAGGCAGGCTAAGCCCCGATGCTAGGTGAAACTGATTTAAAATACAACAGGCCCACAACAGGCAGATATTTTGGTTTATCATAGAAGAAAAAGAAGAGGCTGATATTACCAGTGGGCCAGCGTGCACATTGTGATTCAGGGTAATTTTTGATATTTTTGTTTGAAAATTATATGTGATGACAAAAATCTGGCATGTTTAAGGAGGTCGGTATGAGAGAGTGAGCTATATGGTGCAGATCCAAATGAAAATCTGGATGTAGTGGATTTCAAATATTTTCTCTAGTCTTTTTCCAGCTGTTGTGTGGAAACAAATGGGATGAGAAACCTGGAACTATCTCTAATGAGCAGCTGAGATCAAGTGTCCTTTGGCAAGACACTTGACCCCAAATTGCCCCTGACACCTGCGCTGCACTATGGACGTGCACGTGAATAGCAACACTGTACTGTAAAGTGCTTTGAGTGGTCATGAGGAGAAAAGCTTTACGTAAATACAAACCATTGAGTATTTGGTGATGGGTGGGAGCTTAGGTCTGGAAAGAACTCAGTACATTTTTGTGCAGATGCAGATTAAGGAGCAGATCCAGTAATTTTTATATTGTTTTACGACAAACAAATTATTCAGGCTATAAATCAGACCACTTCCCTTTCTTCTTTTATGTTCCCATGATTGTTGGGCCTTGGGCAGAGGCGTGCACTTCACTGAGCACACGTCGAGTTTAATCTGTGTCCTCTTCTCTCCACCTGTAAAAAACAGGTCAAACTGCTCAAGAGAAGAGTTTGATTTCATGTTCGCTTGAATAGAAACTGGCAGTGAACAGACTGTGTGAAATGTGGTCGGGCTGTACCTGTGAAAACAATACGATTACACAAAGCGTTTAAAAAACAAAACTGACCTTTTATTATTTTAACACGTTTGTGCTATGATGCCGTCTTTGTCCACATACTTCTTCATATATTTATATCTCTATAGATTTAACATGGCACAAGTTTCTCCTTTTTAACCAGTGCTGATGAGTTTAGAACAGGTGACATGTTTTGTGTGTGTGTTTTTTTTTCTGTATTTACAATACGATGAAAGAAATGTACAAGACTCCATGGCATTACACAACTTCAACATTAGGTACAGATACAACTTGATCCCTCTGTACAATCTAACATCATTAGGGTACAATGTTTTTTAAGTTCATCTTTTGTTTTGTTTTTTTACAGATATGAGTTCATGATCCATTTTGGCTTCAGCACATACATATTCCCCATCTCGACCCTGTCCGCAGACCCTTGCTCACATGACTCACACCTTTCACCATGCTATCACAGCTAAGAGTTTCATAAAGGAAATAAAACTAACATCTAGACAGAGCAGGACGCACGTCTCGTCACGGTAGTGTCCAGGTTCGTCCCTCAACAGACCCCCAGCATGATTCCATCTTTCTCTACTTAAAAAAACAAAACATTCCTTGATATCCTTCTTTGGCACACGTTCCATCATTCCATCATTCCATCTGCCATCGCTCGGTTGAACTCGCTCACCCAATACACACACATTCACTTTAAAACAAACACACTTATAAAGCCAAGTTCATGGAAAAAAAGTTCATCGGTTGTTTTGTGCACCACTGGCTCTTTGCCTTTCTTGCTCACGCCCCCGAAAACTTCGGGGAAAGACGAGGTGCTTGATCGTAACCACAGGAGCGTCCGCAGGCCTATACCCAGGAGTCGGGCGAGCCGGGGTACTGCTCTGCCCTGTACGAAGGCCGCCGTGTGCTAGCGTAAAAGTCCACGTAATTGGTGGTGGATTTCAGTCCGTGAGGCTGCGTGCTGTAGTCGACGGCGGGCGGGTAGGTGATGACCTCCTCCAGGTACGGCTCGTCGTAGCCGTGGGGATGCTGCAGGTACATTCTGTACGTGTCGTAATTCCTCCTGCCTGGCTCTTCTGGAAAATACATAGGCTGCAAGGAAAAAAAGAGAAGGTAAACAATAATGATCCAAAAGTAGCAGGGGCAAGTAAGTAACTATATTTACTCAAGTACTATACTTAACTCATTTATACTTCACTATTATGTCGACATTACAAAATGACTCAGGACATAAATGAACACTTTGCATCGTGTTACAAATGTTTAGTGTGAATAAAATGCTTGATGACAACTGCAGCTTCATGTTAATCGTGTTAAATGTTCCACCCTGATCCATATTTTTCTATATTTCTTATATTTCCTTACAGTTAACTATTATTATCCTTACACCTAAGCTTTGCATGTTACTTATTATTTCTTACTGATGCCTATTTTTGACTCTTGCTGCTGTAATTTTGAGACTCATAAAGGATTATCTTATCTTTTCTTGAATTTTTTCCCCCGAGAAATGTTTTGGACATTAATCCTCTATTTGATCGGAGAGAATTAGCGTAAGGGGGGGGGGGTCTCATACTCGCACACAAGTTTGAGACCACTAACACAACAGGTACAAACCCAGAAGATAAATAAAACTTGTCTTTGTCTGATATAAATGGGGTAATGGCTGCCTTCACACGTTAGCAAATCCAAATGTGATGTGATGAAGGACACTCCCCCATCTCCTTCCTCACTGTGCCCGTTCTCTGAACACGTTATCTGGCACGAATGGACGTGTCCCGCGGTGACAGATGCCTGAGATGCACGCAGACTACCCCAATCCCAGCAGTCACATCCACTCTGGCTCAGACAATAGCTGACGTGCAGGGTTGTTCCCAGCATCGCCATTTATCTGTAGCCGAATACGTGTCAGTCCCTTTGTGTTAGTGGAGTGGTTTGGAAGAGCTGGTCGTCCTCGCCAGCTTTATACAGCACGATGGAAGGATCGCAAACAAACTTGTATCTATTATAACTATCGAGTCCCTGCTTCCCAAATTAGTTTCTGTTTTATTTGACTGAAAATGTAATTATTGGATTTTGGATTGTTTGTCAAACAAATACTCTACACTCATCTTTGTGTGTGAACGTTTGTGACATTTCTTTTTCTCTGTTTCTGGTATTTTATCAAATAAATAATAATAATAAAATCAACCATTAGCATTAGCTGCTTTCTTATAACCCTTCTCCCATTGTTTTGATACATTTCACTTATGTGGACTATTTATTACCCTATTCTACATAAAGCTCGAATTAACATTTATGTTTTTGCCAAAATGTGCTGATCTGAAAACTTATGATGCAGAAAAGATGTGGATTTAATTCTAAATTCAAGTTCTATGTATTTGCATCTTCTTTTTCTTTATAGTTACTGATAAATTATAAAAAGTTTTACTCCCCAATATCAGCATTTGCATGGGCCCGTCAGAATTGGTCGTGCTCTAAAGCTTCATGTTCTGAATGTGTGTAATTAAGGTGATGTCATTATGTTTTACGTTCTCACTACCGTACAACATCATTTATCAGTTAGTAGCACTGTTTGCATGAGAATTCTGGTCTCACATAGATAAGAGTTCATTTCCACCTGAGTGGCTACTTGAGCAGGTTGAATAAGAGCAGAAATACTAGCAGCAGATAAGAATTCAGATCATTATATTTACCTGTGTTCTCCTGGGCTCCTCTCTCGTGGGCGATGTGTAGTAATATGAAGAAGGCTTAACAGACCCTGGAAAAGAGTAAAAAAAAAAGGTGCGTTGCTGTTCGTCAAACACTGGGACTAAATGCAAACACACTTCATTTCATATCAGTGAAATGGTCAGAACATCCCCAGGGGGCAAATGTCTGAATTTAGCAAGATCAAAAAGTGTTGCTCTGATCTGGAGAGAGAAATAACAGCGAATAATAGAGTCGGTCACAACTGTTCTGTTGTTTACACAGCCCACAGGACGGGATATTTCTTTGGCACTCCATCCATCCAGTGGAATCCTGAAACTCAATTTCCACTTTGCTATGTAGTGTGGAGGCTGCAGCTCATTCTGTTTACTTTGCCCTCCCCCCTGCTCCCACCAACCAGCGTAGGCCGGCGAGAGCTCTCGTCTGGATGTAGTATGTCTGGGTGCCCACTCAAGTTGCGGGCTGCAACATGGGCCCACTAACAATGGCACTATTGTAGCGTGTGTATGAATGTGTGTGTCCTCCGCTGGCTGGTCAGTCCACATTACTGCTGCGAAGCACAAAACCAGCTCTGAAGTGCTGTGAATCAAACTGAGTGACTGTCTCAGGGCTGCCAGGCTTTGGTGGGGATGATAAGGGAGGGCTGTACTGGCAGGAAGAGGAGACTGGCTGTGGAATCTGCTGGGTGTTATGAGGGATAAAACAGATAACGTTCTGCACAGGGATGACCAGAGGGTAGCTTGTGATTACTGTCTGGTGCAGAGAGTGGATAAGGTTTGAATAAGATTGGAAAGAGAAGTACAATACAAGACGCTTGCACTTTCAATGGCTTCCAGATGTGCGCACTTTGTACCTGTATACTGATTTTTATGAATACTGTTGTCCCCTTGGAAATTATAAAATTGCATAGTTGACTGTGCTCTCTGGTAATCTTTGATAGTGTCTCTATGCTCTTTGATGCCCAGCATGGCAGGAGACGACGTGGCACTGGCAGCTGTGAAAGAGAGAAAACACACTTCAACATAAAATTCCAGAGGTTTTCCTGTTTCGGAGGCGGTTTCTATTTCCATTGGGTTAGAACTTAAGCTGAAAGAACATACCAGGGTGGTTGACTGGGGACATCTGAATGGTGCTGGTGGGGAGGGTGGGCTGGGACTTGAACCTGTCCCTTTCAAGTGTTGACACAGGGGTGAGGAAATGGTTTTGGTTCCATCCATCCTGTAAGGGAAGCACAGAGAGGAAAAAGGACGAGTATGAATAATAAGAACAGTACTGTGGTATTTTTAAATCTGTCCTTCCTTTTGTCACAGAGGGGAACTTTGAAAAGTTCCTCTGCTGTGTGGTCCTCAGTACGTCCATATTGTTAAAAGGTTCAAATGTTGAAACCACCTGAACCTGCAGAGTTTATACAACTGTTTTCAGTTTAAACCTGTTGCACACATGCACAAATATCACTGATATAAAGAAATTAGTCTCTTACAGTTAAACTGGCTACATGAGTTTTAATATAATATATCAGTGGTTGAACAAAAGCAACATCCCAATGTTTGTCTTACTTTTTTATAGATGATACGTAGATCCCGATACTGCCACAGTGTGTTCAGCACCTGAGCAGCTGCCTTCACCACCTTCATAGAGTACCTGGAACACAGACAAAAAATAAACAGGTTCTCTTCAGTGCTGATAAATCACTTCAACCACACTATAAATGAAACTGTAAACATTTTTGAACAGTATGATTAGCTTTGGGAACTGAAACTAGGTTCCAATTAGAACCAAATTCAAAATGTCAAGTAGTTATCCGAAAAGAATTGAATTTTTGTTGTACTTATTAGTTTGAAAATGTGAAAACTCGGCTATCTGCCAGGACACAAGTGACTGAGTCACACATCAACATAACATTCGTTTGGACGTGAGCGAGCATGCATGGATAACACCACAACAATGTGAACGTGACAGATGAGGCCCAGAGAGAAGGGAGAGAGAAGATTAAAGAATGAGGGAGAGAAGAAGAGAGCAGAGGAAGACACACGTGTAGAGTATGTAGAGTACACGTGGGTAGTATGTAGGGTCCAGTTAAGGCTGAAGACACATCTGTCTTAATAGACTGTATCATGTCATTAACAATGAATCCACCCGTCCATCTAGGGGGTGACAATTTTATGTCCTGATCAGTCTTGAAGACTTTCAGAATCTATTTCTAGAGATTGTAATGCACATGCTTTTGCATCTTAATATATATAGAAAAAAGTACAATACTTTTTTTTCTGTGAATGTTGAGCTAATACTAAAAATATATAAAAATCATTTTCTTATTTAAACATTTGAACTCTTTTTTGCCAACTTGGAGTTGAAACAAGGAACAGATACGAACTAGAATCGATAAGCAGATTCAGAAATTCAACCCGACCCTGAGTGTGACTGACGGAAGAGAGCGTCCTCAGTGTTTTAACCTGGAACATTACTGAATATATAGCAGGCTAGGAATAGACTGCTGCCATCAGTCCACAGGGACATACAAGCTCAATGCACACAAAACCACCTTCCCTGTGGCTACAGCTTATCCTTCTGCAAGCATTTAAGTGTGTGTGTGTGTGTGTGTGTGTGTGTGTGTGTGTGAGAGAGAGTTAATGTAAACCACCTACTCTCCAATGTCCAATACAGTGTGTGCAGCCGAGCCACCTGACACATATGGTGGATAACTGTGTGTGTGAGCGTTTGAAGCACACGTGTTAGTGCGTCAGGTTTGTATCACTGTGTACAAAAAAACAAAAAAGCATTTGGACAAATCCACGCTGCTGTAACACACCTGTCTCCTCTGCCCTTGGTGATGTTGACCAGCTTCTCGATGCCGCCCGTGTCGGCCAGGGCCTTGGCGTTCTCCATGTTTTTGCTGGTCACCTCGTGCAGGGTGCAACAGATGGCCGCCACGGTCTCATCTGACAGCAGGGTGGTGTTTCCCCCGGGGAGACGGTTGACCAGGTCCCTCATCGCATACTTCCCTGAGAGGGAGGAGGGAGAGTGAGACCTGCAGCTCATACATTTTGACATATTGTAAACTGGGCATGTGGGTAGAAACGTATGCACGGAGAGGAGAGGGGGAGGTCGCCACAAGCACACTGCATTTTTTTAAACACGTTACATAATGTATAAGTGGACGTCACAAACTACATTAAACAATTTCTGCATCATGAATGACTTAGCTTGAAACTGCAGTGAGGTAGGCAGTTTTCTTAAATGACATTGAATCACCACTACAAGGGCGTCTTCTGCTAAAAGAGGATTGCTCCCCCTATCTCTCCTTCAGCTAGGCAGCCCCACTGAGGGACCTGAATGCATGCAGCACATGTAACCCCCCCCCCCCCCCCCCCMCCTATACACAACAGAAAGCGCCTCAGACCAACACTGCAGCCCCTCCTCAGGCTTTTTTCCCTGCCTTGCTGGAACTGTAACTCCGCATTAATTCCACACAGAGAGAGAGAGAGAGAGAGCATATCAAATCTTGTCTTTCATTAGATTAGACTGTTTGGTGGAACGGAAAAGGCTGGAGTGAGATAAAATGAAAAATAATAAGCAGCAGTTCGATTTAATAAAACAGTTCAAACAGTTCAACTATGTTCTTTTGTCAGTGGATATATGCAAAATATCAAATAGTTGTAGATGAAATATTGAATAAACATTTCAATTTATAGTCAAACACTGTCAGGCCTACACTGTGTATTTGGTATTGTAAGATTTTTCCAGAGGATTCTTTATAAGGGGCTGAGTGAACAGTTCTACAATGAAATAAGAGCTAATTAATTTGAAATTCTGAATAAAATCAAAAACGGCAGCCTGCCATAAGAAATATGACGCATTAATAAATGTAAAAACATTTTCAGTTCATTATGAAACTGCATGAGGTCTGTACTTCACCCAACAGGGACAGTAATGCCAGGTCTGAATTAGGTCAGTGTTTGGTTTGTTACTATAAAAACTTGGTGGTTCCTGTGTAGATATGAAGGAATCAGTCTGCACTCATTAAAACACAATGATTGTTAGATTAGGTGATTAAACATTGATGAATTATTAATATATTTGATTCCTGCCAAATGATCCCCTGAAATCCTTCACACTGTCCCTTCATGTTTGCTATAATTTCATTCAGGCTGGCTGAAAGTGAAAAGTTAGTGTGACAGTGTCATTTCTAACCTATGAGTTCCTTGTTCCTGACATCCAGTGCCATGTTTCTCAGTGCGGTGGCAACCGAACACACCACCCTGTCGTTATCCATCCGCAGCAGTTCCACTAGGATGGGCAGTCCTTTCTCCTTACGCACAGCTGCACGAATGTATGCTGCAAACTGCAAAGACACACAAAAAGGCATTTAGACTGTAAACGGGTCGAGACGTCAAACACAGGAAAGTGCATGGTGCACATTTTGAGCATGTGTGATTTCAAGTGTAAAACAGACGTCCGCTCTTACTGACACAAAGGAGGTGAGCTGTTAAATCCTTTCTTAACAGTTGAACAGATGCTTTATCCTCTCAGATATCACATTTAACAGTGTAAATACAATCAGAGGAGGATATGTGTATTACTTCGAGTGTGCACATATACACAAACACTAGTATTGTACCTTCCAGTTGCCGGCTGACAAGTTCTGAAGAGACCCAGCAGCACCCTCCAGAGTGGCAGGATTCGAGCTTTCAGCCAGTAGTGTTAAGTATGGTTTAACCACCGCAGGGTGCCACAACATCTCTGCTCCCTTGGGAGACTTGGAGAAGCCAGGGATGGGTCCCACACCGTCCCACTGAGAAGAGAACCACAGTTTTGTTTAGTCTACTATATACAATGTACAGTAATACAGGGAGGCTGTGGGTTGGTCTGTGTTTGGTTTCCAGACAAGGTAATGAATTGGTATTTTGCTGGTATGGTATTTTATGTACCTGACTGACGATCAATAAATGCTGTTCAACAACATTGTAAAGATCACCTAGTGCGTCTACAAAATATCTTCAGAATTTACAAAACGAGAATTAAAAAATAATAATCAGCATAATACATAT